GTGTATTGCTAGCTAATTTGGAAACAAAATACCCCCAACTAAGAGCAAGTGAATGTATAATGCCATATTTATAATGATTCTTGATATATGCAAATTGATTTGTTATTCCCTCCCTCCAGTTCAGGTTTCAAAGATTCTATGATGGTTTATAGCCATTGCCCTTTCCCCCTGAATTGTTATATATTAATAACTACTTGGAAAATATGAACAAAAAAGCTGGTGTTTTAACTCAGTGGTAGAGTTCTTGCCAAGTGTGTATAAGACCCTATGTTCAATCACTTGCACTTTCAAATAACAAAAAATAAAAACAAAATAAACCAATGAAATAAAACATAAAGACACATTTTTTAGTATTGAATTATTCTCCTTTTGAACAGTAAAATTGAAGTGTGACCTGGACTCATATTAGCAATGTTTTTGTGGTATTTAGCAAATAATCTTGGCTCCTAAAACTGTGAAATTACTATGAAATGTATAAACCAAATACTTAAACTGAAGCACAGCATGTAGGTATGCTTAAATCTTCCTTATTTAAGTGTAATTCTTTCTCTGTGGTACTTGTTTTACTCTTTCCAATGGTGAGTTCATCCTTGTGAAAGATCAATAATAACCAATACTTGTGGAGTGCTCATTATATGCTAACATCTGTGATAAGTACTTGACATTGATTGCCTCATTCAGTGTTCAACTAGACTCTACAGGAAGAATACATAGTGTTTTCTAGTACAAGGTTGAAATTGAGGTTTAAATTAGATAATTTATCCAGAATCTTGTGGTTAGAAAGCTTTGAAAAGGATACTTAAATTTAGGTTCTTCAGCCTCCGATCTCAATTGCAATCTCTTGCAATGTTTTATTTTATTAATCTCTGAAAGTACTCGCTTTATGACACACTTGAATTTAACTCAAAAAGAAATTAATGTTTAAATTTAGGTATACGAAATTATTGCATAAATATTTATGTGTTCCAAAAAAGAAGCAATTATTTAATTGCTTCTTAAACTTATATCTGTTGAATCATGAATAGGTTAATTGTTGAATGCATTTCATGGAGTTTAAGTTTGGTTATGCATATCTATGCTTTCATTTCTGAAGATATATATATCTTCAGAATATTATAGAGCACCTATAATTTATGTAAACAAAAATCCCTCAAAAGCAAAATAAATTGATGCATGTAACATTATAAAGTATAGGCTAAGTAAACATCAACATTTAAAGTATTAAGAATGTTACCAGTACCATTAACTGTTGAATGAAGCAATCTAGTGGACTTCTAGAAACATTCAAAACTTCATATGACCATTCCAAGTCCTATAATTTTTTTATCCAAGGTATTTGATGTCTACTTCTCTCCCTAATTATACACATAACTCCATGCTGACTTGTCATCTGAAATATAGCCTAATGAAGCTCAATTAAGTTGAGCTTTCTTTGCAAAGTTGAATACATGGCAAAGGTCACCAAGAGCAATGAAGACGGTAGCCTGTCCTAAAACAGAAATCCCAGCTTGTCCCAGAATGAATGCAAGGGAAAGGGGCTTTTTCCCACCTTCTCTTTCATCAGATTCCTCACTTCTGTGTCCTGAATAAATTTCACTACAGACATCAAGAGGGTCTTTTGTGACATACTCTATTTGGAGAGTGATAGAATGACCTAAGAGAAGATTTGGGCATTGAGTCTAAGTAAATGGCGACCTCTAGGTACCCTGTGAGACCCTGTCTCAACAAAGAACATAGAGTGTCACAGAGGAAGGTCCTTGGAGTCCACCCTTGATGTCTATATATGGGCACATTGGTAAGTGCATCTGCAAACATGCATTTCATGTACATATAACCACACACATGTATTCACACTGTAACAAATTTACTAATTAATAAAACTTATAGTTAGTATGCTGTCCAATGGAAAGATTACTAATTTTTAAATCAATTCTCATGTATAATATATTTACTAAGAATAACATAAGAAATTAACTAGGAGTGATCCTAGGTAATTTAAGGCAATGTAATATTATAGTCAAGGACATAATTCCAAACTCTGTAAGTCAGACTACCTGGATTTTTCAGGAAGTTCTGAGGGAGAATTTTCCTCATGTCTATTTCTCAGCAGGTGACCACTATACTTTTTTCTTCTCTGGTTTGTAGATGCAGTATTACAATCCAGGCTTTCATCTTCATTTACCTTCCTTCATTGAATGCCTGAGCATTGTTACATTGTTCTGTGCTGTAAGTTCACCCGTCACTGCATTTAGAAGCAGACCTCATGTGGTATGATCTCATTTTAACTAATTTCAACAACAAAGACCTTATGGTCAATTAAATTCACATTCTGCTGTTCCAAGGAGATATGAATTTGTAAAGGATGTTATTGAGCTGAGTATTTAGTTACTTTCTTTGATCAAAAAGAACATGCAGATATGCCTCATATGAATGTAAGCTTCCATTTTAAGAGCTATCACTTAGTTTGCCATCTTCTCATTTTTCTCCTGACTCCTCTAATGTGTTAAAATGCAATAACAATCAGCCTGGAAACAGCCCCTTTGGTGACATGTGATATAACTTATCCCATTACCAAGACAAAGACAAACTAGTTTCAAGAAGATGAGATTTTCATTTCCACAGAATAACAGGGCTTCCAGTTATTCTGGAATAACTGGCACAAATTTTACTACTAGATCAGACTCCTTAACTGATAACTTAATCATGTGACATTAGCCTATAGGACTAATTTGTTAACAATGAAATTCTGCTAGAGACTGAATGGATATAAATGTTTAAGAAAAGTGTTATCTGTGTTAACATGCAAAAGGGATTTTGTATTTAAAAACCTTTAGATAGGAGGTAAAAAATAAAATCAAACATAGAGCCAACCAAACACTAAGTGCAGGGTGTTTTCTGTTTTCTTGCTCTGCCTACTTGAACAATGAGTTCAGAAACAAAGAAGCTATTTTTCAAGCTAACCAGAAAGAAGGCAGTTAATTCAGAGGTTGGTAGCTTTATTGTTTGAGAGTTACAGGTACTCACAGGTCCTGAGTCCCTTCCTAAACCTTTTGGATCCACCAGATAAAGGAGTTTTTCTGACTTACCCCCACTAGAATGAGGATGTTAGCCCCAGTGCAAAAGACTAAACAGTCATGGATTGAATACTTTGAAACTCTGAACCAATATAAAATGTTCTTCAATTAGATTGTCTGTTTCACAAATTTTGTTTCAGTGATTAAAATATCCAATGTATTACCCAGATTGAATTATGAAAGAGGCATATCTCAAAAGATTTTTAGTAATAGTAATGATATGAGTCTCTCACTGAAATCAAGTTGATTGCATATCAATTAATGTTTGAGAGTATGGAGGCCAATAAATATGTATCCAAACTAAAATAACTGTTAAACCAAAGTTTGAGAACCCTATATTCTACTAATGATAATCAAGAAGATTGATGAAAATAAAATAATTCACATGCCATCAAAATTATCTTAATCTTATTGACAAAATGACTTTGTTATCTTCCTTCTTGTTATTTATCTCTTTGTTGTTTTCATAATTGAAGAAATGCCAAATTAATTGCGAACAGAGATTTAGAATTTTCCAGAATTATTATATTTTATATTTTATGTCATTTTCTATAAAACATATTGTTATGGAAATAGTTATATATATTTCAAATAAAAACTTTATGGACAATACAAAAACAAAATGTTCTTTCAAAGTTCTGATACTGAATAAAAGAATTCCATCTATTTTCTTGTTCTTTCCTACAAGACAACATTGTATGTCTTCCAAACACACTAGTTTTAGCAGCAGGTACATTAGAATATTTTAAGGAGGACATTTAGGTAAATATGCCCACAATACAAAGTTAAATATGTTGTTTCATGTTGTTAAGACTGACTGAATTGTTCTTTGAGCTCAACTCCTCTTCACAGCAGTAGATAAAATAAGAAAACAAAAGACAATAGGGGGGAGCAAAACATAAGACTCCATACCACATTGTGTATAAAACCAACTAAATGTAACAGTGCATTGCAGGCTATTCTAGCTAGTTCGGGAAAGCAATTTTGTAAAGAAGTAGAAATTGATGAGGGAGTAAACATCAAAGAAAAGAAAACTAAGAAAAGGGTTTTGATTTTAAATATAGAGATGCCTGTTCAGACAGCATTCTGAAAGTGTGAAAACAAGTAAGCTAAATGTTAAGTGTGTGTTTTTACACCAAAATAATGGTAGGAAGCTCATTAGCACTAAATGGTACAATTTTTTATGGGTCTGTACTTCTTGAAAAACAATAACATAGAACAATAACTTTTGACATCATTTAAGGTAAAAATCTGTGGTGTTTGTTAAAATAATTGTGAGCCATCTATCAAACAATGACTTAGTCAAACATAGTCATGAAAATAAATTTCAGAAGTACTGCCAAGTATTCAAAATAAACTTTATTAAGACTAAGGGGATAAAGTCAGTCCAGCAAGCAAGAATCTGTAGAGCTGCATACAATGAAAACTATAACAAAATCATCTGATGTTTTCAAACAGAATGTTTGCCATGCTTTGCTTATGAAGGCAGATATATTCTTTATTACATAGTTATTGTGAGGTTAAACATGATAAATGTTGGTACCAGGTATGCACCCATAAAGTCTTCACTACTTTTAAGTTTATTCTTTATTGTATGATAATAAAATTGTGAATGAACAATACAGGCAGAAGAAAACCTCACCTAGGTGTAGAGAGCTGCAGAAAACCGCACCCAAAAGATGGCGCTGGTTTCCGCCTTCCGCCAGCCCGACGGCGAGCGCTCTCTGTGGTAAACAACTCCAAATATGGTAGAGGTCATGTATCCTCTTAATTCTGCTTGGAGACAACCTATCCTGGCGCGCCACGTAGGGTTAGGTGATTGGTAGATGTAGACTATATCAGGCCCCGTCTCCCTCGGCCTGGGGCCGCCGCCGCCTCCATTATACATTGTACAAAAGCAAAGAGGTTCCCGATTAAACTGTGTTTGAAGAAGATTCCTCGGTGTGGCGTCTTTCTTGCTGGTCAAGGGTGGACGCCGCAAGTGGTGGCCCGTACGGGGAATTCAGAACTTCTCACAGTCGGGGCGGCGCCGGTAAGTTCCCAAGGTAAGTGGAACTGTAAAGTCCGCGGTGAATGCGGAGATAGGTCTCCGGTAAAGGAGCACCAAGGTCCTCAGGAAAGAGGAGATAGGTCTCAGTAAAAGAGTACCAAAGCCCTCGGGGAAGAGGCAGTAAAGTCTCCGGAAAGGAGCAACACTGTTCGCGACAAAAGCGAACCGAAAGTAACAAACCCTCGCTTCTGCTTTAATTTGCAGAGTGAAAGTAAGTTAATGGACCCCGCTATTATAGTGGTGATTTGGCTGCTTTTTAATATCGCAGTGTGGGCTTTTGTTTTCTGGTGGTGTTATCCTACTTGCACACCTTCGGAGCGTGCTAATTAAGACAAAAGCACAATGGGATCGTCACAATCACATCCAATTTTTCTGGCTCTTCAAGAGCTACTTCATTCTAACAATTTAAGGTTAACTAAAGCCACATTACAGAGGTTCCTGAGTGAATGCGACACCATTGCACCCTGGTTTGCAGCCTCGGGCAATCTCACTGTGGATAGTTGGGATAAATTAGGGAAAGACCTGGATTTTGCCTGGGAGCAAGGAGCGTTGAAGCCGAGTGTTCGCCCGGTTTGGCGCCTGGTGCGCAGCTGTCTAGAGGACAAAGGGGGAAATAAGAAAGCTATAGCAAATGGACAGGCTGCCCTTGAAATGCTCCAAGAAGAAAGGTCAGAACAGTCAGAAAGTGAGAGAACAAAGGAGAAACAGAAAAGGGATAAGAAGCGAGTCTATCCTTCTCTAGGAAGGTTGAG